TGTTATTATAGCAACATGTCTTTGAGGATCTCAAGTCCTGGTGTTGGTAATTTTCCACTTATGTTCAAAATTTTAAAAAGAAATTCTTCAGGTAAAACACTAAAATCTATTGCAGAGGGGGGGCCCCTTGGGTGGCTCAGCTGGTTAAGCGTCCGACTCGATTTCGGCTCAGGCCATGATCGCAGGGTTGTGGGATTGAGCCCCATGTCAGGCTCCATGCTCAGCAGGGTGTCTGCTGGAGATTCTCGCTCTCTCCCTCTGCCCCTCCCCCTGCTCGTGTTCTCTCTCTGTCTCTCAAATAAATAAATAAATCTTCAAAAAAAGGCTATTGCAGAAGAGAAGAAAAACAGACACACTGCTCATACTGCACTGGGTTACTTAGAGATATAAATCTTGTTATTTGAGGTTCCCGATGTCTAGGAAATAGCTGATCACTTAGAAGATTCTCTGAATCAAGTCCATTTTGATACACAGCTGTGAAAATATTAATTACATATGCTGTTTCGTGCTGTAGGTTAGAGCATAAGCTAGAGTTAGACGTTCCAGGCTGGAATCTCAGATGTACCACTAAACAGTATAGGAAAAGCTTAATGGGTTCGTGCCTCAGTTTCCTCATTTGTAAAATGGGGATGATAAAAATACTTTCTTTGTAGGTTTGTTGTAAAGATTAAGTGAGCCTCCACCTACAAAGCAATTTAAAACCCTATCTGGTACATTTTAAGTGGTCAAAAAATGTCCTGGGAGAAAAGACTTGAATCCAGGAAATTTAATTATTCATCTTCCGCTTCAAGCCAGGAACTTGGCAGTCACCCTAGAATCCGATCTCTCCCTCTCACATCCTACGTTCGGTCCATTGCCAAGTTCTGTTGAGTCTTCCCCTAAATATCTCCTGGATGCAACACCCCCTCTACACTGTCACAGTCTCTGCCCTGGTTCAGCCCCTCAGCCTCTCTCACTCCCGAATCACCACCAGCGCTTCCGGACCACTAGCCCGGCTGCTGTCTGCAACATGGACACCCGAGGGATGGTTCTAAACCATGCAGCTGTTCGGTTCCCAGCCTACCACCGCCGTTCAAGTGGGTTCGAGTCCCTCTCCTTTGAGAGGGTGATTTCCAAGCCCATACAAAGGTCTTCAGGACCTGGCTCCGGACTACTTTTCCAGCCATTTTTCCTGCCATACACTCCCATCCCCTTTGCTCTTTATTAATGTTTGTTTCTCACACACCTGAGCATTCCCTCTTACTTCCACCACTTTGGGCATGGGACTCCTGTCCTCCTCCTTGCCTATCTTGCTCACTCCTCCTCCAAGGCTCAGCTTCACCAATTCAAGTTGAACTGGGAGTCTTCCTCTGGGCTCCTGTGGCTCCCTTTCCACATGTTATGTAGGGTGATTGATGGTGCTCATATCTTTCTCCTCGCTCTGCAGGGAGTTACTGTACTATTGCAATTCTGCCTCCTTTAGCTTTGCTTCCACCACCGGATGCCATGCCTGACCCAGAGAAGTCACCCAATAAATGTCTGCTGAATGAATGCATGAATGCAAAAATGAAGCAATGAATATTCATTCCTGCTCTACCACTGAGTAGCCGTATGAGTCTGACGTCAATAATTAGAAACGATATTAACCATAAAATTGAATGCCACTTTATCCCAGTATATATTATCCTATGTCAGTGATACATATATGTTTCTTTTTTTAGTGTACATTTCCTTAGATCACCTCAAAAATTTTTTATAGGATGTAATACATATATACAAGCATACTTGTGAATATTAAAAAAAAATTATTGAATAAGTTAAGGTCAATCTCCTAATACCCCTCATTATTGAAACGTATCTTATAGTTTGCATGGAGAGAAGGCAAAACATGTGGGCCTGAGAGCATTTGTGACTTCTAGCCCTCATGAATCCATAGGAGTAGCTTGGGTCATCTACTGACCAGCGCCCGTGGGCCAGGCCCTTGCTCAGCGCAGGGGATATAAAGAGTTCCTCTCTGCAACTTGCTCAGTCAGGGCATGGATCCAATATTAACCCACCCAAAAGCACTCCATCTACCGTGGGCACGCCACCCTTTCACGGCCAGCTTCAGCAGCCCATCAGGAGAGGAAGAGAGGGAAGGGAAAAATCTATCAGGGAAGAGCGATGGGAAAGTATGCATCAGGGAGATTTGTAAATGCAGTAGAAAGAAACTTTTAAACAAAATACTCATGAAAAGTTTTTTGGATTTTTTTTTTTTTGCTTCAAGTCAGAAAAACCGGTGATAAAAAGATTAAGGGTTCATCCATCTAGGTGTATTTCCTTTAACAAATAGGAAGATCTTTTTCTTGACACGAGTTGCTATGGCAAGAATAAAACACACCCTTATAAAAATTCAAGTCATTATAAATTCCTAGAAGTTTCCTATTTTTTTAATTGGTAATCACTTATTCATGGTTATCAATATTCTTAATAGACCAAATGTGGGTTTTTTTTTAAACTGATGAAATGTGAATGCAGTGTTGATTTTATGCATGTATTATGATTTGATTATAATGCTTAGTAATATCCCATACTGTATGATGTTATGCCATATGGATAGAATCAGGAAAGGTTCATCTTGGGCTTGCTCAGACCTGAACTACACGGGTACCATGAACCAAATTCCTTATTTTACAAATTAGATACTCTTTACATTTTTCTTAAGTTTGTCTATTTTGTGATTTTAGGAGATTGCTCACTATTACTCTTATGTAATTAAAAGATCCCAGAGGATATTTCTACATATGAGCAAAAGCAACGAACCCCATAACAACTCACAAAGTATATAAAAGCAGCTTTTCCAATTGACATGGGACCTATAATACGGAGCAAAGTAACCCACGAGCCTTAATTAGGATCTTTAGGAAAAGGTAGGAAAAAGAAACACCAAGTCAAAACAATTCACTTTGTGGTACATATGCTATATGACCAAAAAAGAATCTAGATTATGTCTTCAAAGTAATCTAATCTTGACTTCATACTTTGAAAGTGGTCCCTGAAATCACTGGACTAGGAATATTTAAATCTCCTGAAATACATATATCTTTGAGAGGGAATATGCATATCTTACTGTGTCATAAATCTAGTAGTACAACAGCAATGGAAGTGTTATCCCCAAGCCACTTTCTGGATCACCTCTGTGACTGTCCTGAGAACAAAACATTTAAATCTGCTTACACGTTGACATAGCGATATTGATATTTCTCCATGTTCCCTTCTGGTTGCTAAGAGATTTACATTGGACAGACTCTGTTGTACTCATTAACAAAGCACTTTGGTCCACAAAGCAATTGCTTCAGCTCAGTGAGTCCAGAAGCTCCCTTTGCCTGGCCCCTTCCCGATTTTGCTTCCAAGTCAAACAGGGGCCCAGGCCCCAAGGCAGCGGGCCTGTCATCACCACAGGAAACTGTGGTGCAAAAGCCTGGCTCAGCCAACAACTCTTACACAGGGTATGAACAGCAGTGGTGACGCTGTATCTTTATACAAACACATGTCCCTTCCCGCATGGTCCTTAGAAGCCAGTTTATCGTGGTGGGAGTGGGCAAAGATGTGTGGAGAGGGGGCACTCCATAGTGACCTATGCACAGACAACCTGACACGGTACAATTAGACCAGAACCCAGCCAGATATGGCAATTCCATAACTCTGCTGTGCAAGCCTTTGAAATATGCAACCTGAGTTCGTACTTTCATGAAAATATATCCAAGAAGTTTATTTACAAGACTACTGAAGGGGGGACAATCTATATGAACCACCTTGCAGCAAAGCAAATGTAGCCCTCCAAACTCAATCTCATCGAGCCTGCCACGTAACAAATGGCAGAGAGGCTTCTTTTACTGATCCTAACTCTGAAGAAAACGGCAAAGGCACCAGAAATATTCCTGATCATCCCTGAGGAGAGGTACATGTGGTGGATGAAATCGGCATGTCATTTACAAGGCACATGCATCACTGCTCAGAGCAAATTAAGATGATCTTTCCCTTGGGAATTCTCACAAAGAGCCATTAAAATGCTTTATGACCTGACTTTCATATTCAGATCACAGAGTTTTAGTCAATTTTTATTAATTGCCATGGAGGAAAAGTGCTTTGGGCCCTCACTCCCCACCCGGTACCTAGGAGTCACATTTAAGGGCACAGTCGCTAAACACTCAGTAAGTACTCTCAGGCTGTAATAAAACACCACTGACCTAGAATTTTCCTCCTCCCCCCATCCCCACCACCTTAGAATATCAGTTGGGGATGATCAATGCCCATGCTTTAATCAGAAGCAATCAGCATGGAAGCCTGCGGGTCCCCACCACTGGTGCCATGGGAATTCCTGCATCCAGGATAATCCCTCTCCCCCAGCCAAGAAAAACAAACCCCAGTGATTTTAGCCTCATGTAACAAAAGAAAGTTATTTCTGGCAGCTTACTGCTATTGCACAAGCTAAGGAGCAGCACCTTACAGAAATAAGGGGCAAGAGGAAAGAAAGAAAGGTGGAAAAGCGCGAAGCAGGAAATGACTTTTCTGCTCCGTCTTTAAGGTCACAGATCTGCCGGAGAAACGCACGCGAGTGACAGTAGTTCTAGCACAAAAGCTCCTTTTCCACGAGCCAGACCTCCAAGAAGTACCAAGACTGGCTCTCCGGCCTCTCCCTCAAACCCAAGTCCCCGGAGTCCGTTTCACCTTGATGGGGCTGGGAAGAAACTACTTTTCACTCCCTTGCACCCCCTTTCTGTGTCCTGCCGGCGTGCCCCAGCCTCCTCGAGGTGGAAGCACACCTTCCGCATCAGCCCTGCAATCACCCCCACACAACATAAAACCTTCCCTCGCCTCACCCGTCCTGCGGCCATGCCCGACCGGTGGGCTTCATCATCTGTTCCCAATTCAGCCCCTACACAGCCTGTAAAAATAGCCCTTCATGTCTCCAACAGACGCCAGGAGGAGATTAAAACAAAAAAGCCAGGCAAGCTATATGCTCTGGCAGAGACCACTACCTTTTTCTTCCGATCCCGGGACCGTTTGCGGTGTTTCCTTTTTTTCTCAGGTTCTTCTTCAGCATTGATTTCTAAATCCCTGTTTTTCTTTAATTGTGAGGCTGCATGAGCCATAATGCATTTAAAAAGAGCTTCTCAAGCACGCAGGGCTTCTTCCTATAAGGTGATCTCCTCAGGCACCTTTAGCCAGGCTTACAGCAGCATTCCAATCACTGGAGAGAAACCTTTGACCAGAAGCAGGAACACGCGCAAAATGCAAAGATGCTGTAGAAGCTGAAGCTTTTAAAAACCCAAAAGACGGTTTCCAGACTTCATCCTCCACCTTCCTCCACCTGAACCTTTACACGAGAGTGCAGCCATCGTAATGCATTTATCGTAGTGAGAAAGACAGCTGGGGCAGAGGAAGCTGTATTATGGCCGTATCCCCTGCCACCAGCTGGAAGTGTCTAAGTGATTCCTCGGAAGGGGGAATGCTGCAAAGGATGCTTCTCTGAAGGGAAAAAGTCCAGAGTCACCACACATGCAGGAGCGAAAATCCAGCACTAATTCTGAAAACCTATTTTAGAATCCTTCGAAAAAAAGACAGGGCTGCAATTTATACATCACCACTAGTTCTGCACAGAGCATAATTTAACCCGTAAGAGAATGGAGCCGTTCCTACTTGAGTTTAACTGCTGATGGGGACAAAATACATAAAATAAGATTTCACAAAATGCACTAAATTTTGCTCTGGAGATCCTGACCGCGTTACGGGGAAAACAATGCATGCATTGCTGGTCTCAACAGTGCGTCCTTTATGCTGAACTATCTGCCTAAATGCATTTTGTGGGCGAGGACTACAGAAGGGCCTGTTGTCTTTTAAAAACAACATGCTGATTACAACACATCATACAGAAAGACGTGAGCATGTTGGTGTATGGAACAGATGCCCGATTCATAGGAGTTCCCCAGGACTCTCCTCTCATGTGGTCCACGGGTCGAGGACGGGCAGTCTGTGCAGCAATCAGGGGTTCGGAGACACTGAAATGGAGATCTGGCTTTCACGTGAGGGGCTGCTTCCATCACCTTACTATTTTTGCCACCTGAGTCCTCACTGACTGCAGCCTCTGAATATTTATGATGTGAAGTGAAGCAGCAGTCACTCTCCAGGCCTGCCGGGGTGGTTCTGCCGAGGCACACACCGGAAGAAACGGACGAAGTCAGGAATCATGTATACACACAGGCGATTCACACGGTTTTAGCAAGAAATGGCTGAATGGTAGACTGGACCTAAAACACTTGAGCACTGGTAGGAAACCCTGAAGGCACCAGGAAAATGAGCAGGGGGAGAAAAGATGATACTCCACTGAAGAGACTTAGTATGTGTACTTCCAATACCATGAGGCCACGTGCTTCTTCCAATACAAGAAGTCCGTAACTTTAGAGATGGTCCTTTTGGCTTTGCAGGACTGACGGCTAACATGTGTGAAAGCTGAAGCAAGAAGGCCAAAGGCGCCACGTGAAGAGTCGGCTGGGGTTCTCTGGAGCTGTTGTTCACCTGCTTCATAAAGAACCTCCAGTGTGAGCTCCTGCAAACAACATCCACCCACTACGTTTTAGACTTGGAGATCAAAGATCTTCCTCCCCGTCCCCTTGTAGGGGGCTTGACCCTCTGGCGGGCAGTGATAGGCAACGGAAAGGGAAAGATGGCGGGCCCATGGCTTTCCGGCCCTGCTGCGAATGGACGGCACACTCCTCTTGGGCCTCACTGTGAACCGCGTGAAAACCACATGGGTCAAACCATTCTCAGGGGCCTATTCGTGTGCTGATGATGCTCATGTGCTTCTTCCCCACACAAACTACCTTCAGGAAGAAAGAGTTCTGGAAAGGTTCTCCCTTGCCTAGCAAACCATCATCTGGCAAAACGGAGGAGAAAAGGAAGGAGGGGAATGAAATGAGACTCAGATCCAAAAGTGACAAATCACAGTAATAAATCACTTAGTAATAAAAATAAGTGGTTTTTCGGGGCACCTGGGGGGCTCAGTCGTTAAGCATCTGCCTTCGGCTCGGGTCATGATCCCAGGGTCCTGGGATCAAGCCCTGCGTCTGTCCGGCTCCCTGCTTGGCGGGAGGCCTGCTTCTCCCTCTCCCACTTCCCCTGCTTGTGTTCCCTCTCTCACTCTCTCTCTCTCTCTGTCAGGTAAATAAATAAAATCTTTAAAAAAATAAATAAATAAGTGGTTTTCTACCAGAATAATTTTTTTATTGTAATAGGAATAGGTGGGATGGAGAAAAAAAATTAAAATTAGAACTTTTGTACAGTCTCCCCTTATACAAATTATCCTGTACTTTTGAGGAAAATTCATATGATTTCCTTTCCTTATTTTCTGCAAGCTGAAGAGAACAGCCAGCTAAAGAACTGGCTGGTTTCCCACCAGCTCCTGGACCCTTTTTTCTTTCTTTATAGACACTAATGATACTTTAAAATATGTAAGTAACCTTGATCAGAGTAACCTCTTTGTCTGAGGCTGCAAAGCTATACTTTCCCATTGATCTCAGCCAAAGCATAGTTGGACATTAGGAAAACGGGCCACAGGTATTTTTTAAAACTAGAATAATTCTTGGTTTCCCTCAAATTAATCAGAAGTTGAGAATCCATCATAACTTTTGTCGCCATAATAGAAACTTTTTGTGATGTTGGATTTTGCAGTATCTCAGTAAGTGGTTAACCCATCAAAAAATAAATTCTAAGGTTTGTTTAGATTTTCTTTCTTACAGAAAATGTGGGCTTTTGTCCTCCATTTCTAAGCCAGAAGAACTTTTAACAGCAATACCGCCAAGGAAGGCAGCCCTGTGGGTCTACGATTTTGATTGTTGTACTACTAAAGTCTTAGTTCTTTTCTCCCTGCCCAGCCTACACCCTGACAAGTAACTCTTCAGCTTCTTGTGTACTTATTCTCAATACAAAGGCATTTACACATGATAGCCACAAATACTAGGTTTTTTCCTCCCAAACTGAATTGAGAGTTCTATCAATAATTCTAGAAAGCAAGCTATTTATAAGAGCTGAAAATGAAACATGAAAAGAACTTTTAAAAACTTGATTCTCTGGTTGAAGATTCCTAAAACTTCTCCACTCGAGTTCGCTCTCTTCTGCAAGGTTACAGAACTAGTATGAATCTTCTAAGTAAAACGGATGGTGCAGCAGGTACAAGAGTGTATATCTGAGCAGGGCAGCTGGTCTATGAGAGCAGGAAGGAGATGCAAGGTTCAATCACATCAATTACCGCCTGCATACCCGGTAACTTTTCCAGTCCCACTCCCTGACACTGGCCATGAGGGTGTACTGCACAGAACTTACACAGGATGGGGATGGCCTGGGCATGGAATGTCAAAGCTGTTCAAAGTTAAAGAAAGACTATACTTAAGCCACTTCTCTCCAGGGAAGCGGGGGAGGGGAATCTGTTCTGGTTTTATAAAAGTTCCAGCTATAGGAATTCCCAAAGCATCCTTTCAAAAATAAAGTAAAAGTGATCCTTCAAATTTATTCACAGCAGAAATCCTTCTTTGAATGTCCTATAGGAAAGGCAATTATAATCAACATAACAGCAGAATTGAAGGAATGGTATCCTAGAGCCCAGCTTTATGTCCCCCTACCCTTCTTGTGGAAGGCAGCTTGGCTGAGCAATTTGAAAACCAGCATCCTACAGCAAGAAGGAGTCCTGGTCTTTTCCTTGCTTGGACCTTGGTTGCCAGAACTTAAGTCAAAAACTTTCCTTATGATTCTGCCCAAAATAATTCCTGGGTTCTTCCCAGAAGTGACAAATTTTATTTACAGGATTTCCTATCTGTGCATTACAGTATAACACTAGTACAAAACAGTAAAAAATCACTTTCTAGCTTGGCAGCTGGAGTAATGTTTGTACCCAAATAATTTCTAATCCAGGAATCAAAGATTTATGACTAAATATCCCACTGAAAACAAAACCAAGTCAACTCATTAGAATGTTTTACAGACTTCAGATGCCAGTGAGGGTAATTTTTCTTCACAGTTTAAGCTTACACCTTGTCAGGATTTTGAGACAAACTCTATTACTTCAGCCAATTAGTAACTTGACTACTCTCGGTTGTCATTCTGTATTGTGTCTCCACATTGGTGAGCTGGGTGGACACACAAACAATGTACGTGATTTCTATGAAGAGGATACTGTCTTCTTGGTCATTTTGAAGTTTTAATAACTGTGCACTTTAAAAAATATATCACACAGTGATGTAGAGAAGGGGAGGATGGGGAGTGTAAAGAAAAATGGAGGATGGGAAACAGAAAGAAAAAAAAAAAGAGAGAGTTCTCATCTGCCAGGGAGGCTGTACCTTCCCAAACCTACCCTGTGCTCTCGGTAATGAGCAAAGTGTGTGTTTTGATGGAATGAAAACTATCCGTGCTGCACCCACTTCAGTTTTCTCAGAAGCAGAGCAACCTCACCGTAAGAGTCAAAATATTTTTCCTTCACAATGAAAAGTGGATCCGTCGTCATTTCATTAATTTTGGCATCCTAGATAAAGATGATGTCAAGAGACCTTGAGCAGGTTCTGAACAATGTGGGGAACAGGAAAGAAAACAAGCACTAAACCTGTCAATGGTAATAAATGACAAAAAAGCACCTTGGGAAATTCTCAACTCATAATCACATATTCTTCTTCATTTTCAGATGAGACACATGAAGTGCTTAAAAAAAAAAAGAAAAGGGAAAAAAAAAATGACTCGCCGGACCACACGGAAAGACTGGTGGTCCCTCCCACGCCATCGTGGGGTGGCACCTTTGGATCCATGAGGGCTGGCCTCAGGCCCGTCAGTCTTCGTGCTCCGTCTGCCCTCCATCCCTGGAGCAGACGGTCTGTCCAGCTCGCTGGCTCACCTCAGTGCTGCACAGCCAGCTGGTAGCCTGGGGCCTCCTCACACGTGCAGTAGGGACAGGCTTCCCCAAGGTCTCTCCACCACGGCCACATTGGCCGGCAGGGACGAGGGGATCCCTCACTCTGCACGAAAGAGCCCCACGGGCACTTCCCCGGGTCTCTCTGACCGGAGTAGACTGGTGGTGCCTGGCAGAGTGCTGAGCGGTGGGCAAACGAAGTGTACTGAACAAGCCACTTCCTCTCTGGGCCCCTGTTCCTATAGGAGGATGTGGCTGGACCACCCTGTCACGAACCCAAAATGCTAGGATTTGAAGTGACAGAAGGTTGTGGGTGTTTGGAAATAAAGGGAGATACAGAGGAAACGTATATTGAAGAAGAGTTTGTGATCTGTGCTGGTCCATACAGTAGCCACCAGCCCGATCTGGCGATTGGACACTGAAATGTGACTAGTATGTCTGGAGAACCGAGTTTTAAATTTAAAAATGTACTCAGTTCAGATACTGGAACACATTGCAGTGTGTTTGGAACAATTTGGATATGGGAATTGACTTTTCCAACTTCAAATTTTATTGGAAAAATACAGATCAAGTTTCCAATAATTTAGCATCCAAATGAAGACATAAAATAACACCAGATTGCAAGACTTAATATGAGAAAAAGCAATGTAAAACTCCTCAGTAATAATTGTCTATATTGAGTCATGTTGAAACTATTTTGGATATGTTCACTCAAATAAAACATTAAAATAAATTTAACTTTTTAAAAAGATCTTTAAATGTGGCTATTAGAAATTTGAAATTATGTGTGTGGCTCACACTACAGTGATTTTCTATATAAAGAGCTCATACTAACAAAAAGAGCCTAATTTGCCAGACATGATCTTCCCAAAGGTGGATATTTCTGCAAATGAGCACGAGAAGACACTCAGCAGTCAGTCATTAGG